AATTTTGTCTATGTGGATAGTGATGCACAATTATTGAATATTGTGTCTAACCTTGAAAATGGAGACGAGTTACATTTGTATATTGAACATATTGTTCTAGACCCTGAGGTAATGGATGATGTGCCTCCTACTAGACTTATTGGTGGTCCAGAAATAGGTTTAAGTGAAGTGAATAGTGCATCTGGGGAAACAAACACAGAAGAGAGGCAAAAGGTTGCTGCTAAAATTGAAATTAGGGAAAATGTTGTTGATAAAAGTGAAGTGAGGGAAGAGGTTGCTGCTGAAACAGAAGAAAGGGAAGAGGTTGTTGCTGAAAGTAAAGTGGGGAAAAATGTTGTTGATGAAAGTGAAGTGGGGAAGATGTTGCTGCTGAAACTAAAGTAAGGGAAGAGGTTAATACTGAAACTGAAGTAAGGGAATATGATGTTACATACTTTGATGGTGCTATTTCAGATCTGGACAGTAGTAGTGACTCAGAGTTTGATATTGTACCAGAAGAAGATGATAGTGATGCTGATGAAGAGTTAATAGCTGTTAGGAATTTAAAAGAGAACCAAGCTAAATGCTAGAAGAAGGAAAAAACTAATTGTTCATGTAGAAGTACCTCTAGGAGAAGGAAAAATAGATAGAGGCTTTGAAGACATTGGCAAGAACAAGGCAGACAAATATGCTGGTAAATTAGGTGGGGATGAAGACTATGTTGATAGTTCTGATATAGGTAGTGATGATTCTGATGATGAGCTAGATGTGGAAGCTGAAATTGGTGTTGATTTGCCAAGTAGAAGGAAGAGTACAAAGTTAAGATATGATCCAGATTGTGTTGTGGTTATTTTTGAACTTGGCATGATATTTGAGAATATCAAACAATTTAGGAAGGCAGTGACTGACTATGCTATTGAATACCATGCACAACTGAAACTCAGGCCTAATGAGGCAACTAGGGTGAGGGTGAAATGTAAATCAAAGATTTGCCAGTGGGAGTTATTTTCAAGTCTTGACAGGGATTCAGGGAATTTTATAGTTAAGAAGTATCATCCTATTCACAAGTACAATCCAATAAACAAAAATAAGCTTTGTAATTCTAAGTATATTGTTGACAAATTCATAGATAGGATCACATCTCAGCCTTATATTAGGATCTGGGAAATACAAGAATTGGTTAGAGACAAATTGGGTTTATATGTTGGTAGAACCATCTGTTACAGGGCAAAACAGATAGTGCTTAGGAAGTTTATGGGGGATTGAAAGATGGAGTTTGCTAGATTATATGACTATGCTGATATAATTAAACAAACCAATCCTGGTAGTACTTGCTATGTATATTTTGATGCATTGAAGAAAGGTTGGTTGGAAGGATGCAAGAAGATCATTGGTTTTGATGGGTGTTTTCTAAAAGGAGCATGTAAGGGTGAAGTGTTGGTAGCTATTGGGAAAAATAGGAACCAACAAATATATCCCATTGCATGGGCTGTGATAGACAATGAGTCAAAAGCATCTTGGAGTTGGTTTATAAACAACTTAATAGCTGACTTGGAGTTGGGAGATGGAGCTGGATTAACAGTTATGTCTGATATGCAAAAGGTACTTTACTTCATCTTATTCTGTTTTATCTTTCTACTTCTGATTTCTGTTTCTGTTTTAGCTTTCTGATTTCTGACTTCATGAGTCAAAAGCTTCTCATTAGTTTTCTGATTTCTGTTTTAGCTTTCTGATTTTTGTTGATTTCTGTTTTATCTACATTCTATTTTAGCTTACTTTATTCTGTCCCATCTGTTTTCTATTTGATTCATTGTTGTTTTGTAGGGTTTGGTACCAAGCATTCAAGAGTTACTACCAAATTGTGAGCATCGAATGTGTGCTAGGCATATATGGTCTAAGTGGTCAAAAACGTGGAGAGGTGAGGAGATGAGAAAGCAATTCTGGAGGTGTTCTAAGGCTAGTTTTGAGGTGAAGTTGAAAGAAGAACTGACTGCTTTGGGAAAGCTTGGAAAGGTATATGTAAAAGCTTATTGAAGTATAACAAAGAGTATTGGTGTAGAGTTTTTTTCCGTGAACACTCTAAATGTGATATTGTAGAAAATAATATGTGTGAGACCTTTAATTCTTGGATATTAGAACCTAGGCACAAGTCTATTATTATCATGTTAGAGGACATTAGTCATAAAGTAGTTAGGAGACATGTTGATATGATACAGCTTGCAGAGACTTGGATTACAGACATATCTCTTATGACACGGGTGATTCTAGAAGAAAATAAGGAGTTGTCTAGAAAATGCAAAGTTTTGTGGTTTGGAACTGATGGGTTTGAGGTTGATGAGTATGAATACAGATACATAGTGAACTTGAGGAGAAGAACATGTACTTGTAGATCCTGGCAGTTAAGAGGGATCCCTTGTGCACATGCAATATGTGCAATCTATCACCAAGATGAAGAACCATACAATTATGTGGATCACTGGTATAGAAATGAGACATTTCTCAAGGCATACCAATACTTTCTTGAACCAATCCCCAACATGAAGATGTGGCCTGACACTAATTACATGGTAATTGAGCCTCCTGCACCAAAACCAATGTCAGGCAGGCTCCAAAAGAAAAGAAGAAAGGCAAAGAATGAGCTTAATAAAAGAAGTATGGCAAGCTCTCTAAGCAAGGAGTTAATATGACATGTTCAAAATGTCATTAAGGAGGCCATAACAAGTCTACATTCCAATCAAGGGTATGTTGTAATATTTTTCCCCTTTTTATTCACTTAAATGCCAACTTATATATGTACTTTCTGGAATTTTTAGGGTGGAATGGGAGAGTCTACTCAAGCAACTCAACAAAGCCAAGGAAGTCAAGAAACTCAAGAATCTAAGGAAACTAATAGCGGAAGTGGAAGAGGTAGGGAAAAGAGTGCTAATACAATCACAACCAATGGCAGAGGAAGGGGAAAGGGTGCTAATACAAGCATAACCAGTGGCAGTGGAAGGGGAAACAACACTAGTTTTGGCAGGGGTGCATTTCCAAATGCACCTCCCCCAACTGCTCCTAGAAAACTTACTATTGGGGTTAAAAGAACAAGAGGAAGATGTGCTGAATCTGCAACACCATCTGATGGACATAAGAGGTCAAGAAATGTTGGTTTTGGATGTTACACCAACCCTACAATTGGAATGACTATCATTAATGTAAGGACTATCTATTCACAACTTCATTTTGTTATTACTACCATTTGTTAAAACTGATCTATGTGCCTTTTATGTCAATTTCAGCCAGGTAGTTCGGGTGAAAGAGTTGTATCATATGGGACCAAGGTTGTAAAGGATACCAGTGCAGTCAATATCGATCTTGGATTTAAACCTCCTGGCCTTAAGTTTTAAAGGCAGAAATGCTATAACTACTTCTCAGCTACAACAACTAAGTGCAAACAAGAGAAGCCAAACTGGAACTTCAGTAACTACCTCTTCAGTTGCAAGTCCAGTCCCTCCAGCGCCATAGTTGTGTTATAGTTGTGTTAGGATTATGCTATTTTGGATTTCAGTTTATGTATTTTGCTAAGTATCCAAACTTGGATTGATTATTTTATCTTTTTTGGGTCAGATCATGTATTTTGCTAGTTGTTTGGAATTGTTGAAAACACTATAGCTGGAATGCAATTTAAATGCGTTGGTAGCATTCTGTTTAATGCAATTTAAATGCCTATGTTTAAACACTTTAGCTAGTAACATCAAACTGCAGAAAAATTGCATTCAGTTTAAACAAATGCATTCAGTTTTGTATGCATTCAGTTGGAAACATCAAACTGCTGAAAAGTTGAACCAATACATAAAAACTGCAGAAAATTTTTCACCTAGGCATAACAAATTGCATAAAACTGCAGAAGTTGTTTAATTTCATTGAAGTAAGGCCACATGCCACAATTACATCCAAAAACACTAGATACACCCAAAATATATCTACCACCACTACAAATTGACCACAAAATACTTCAACCACCAGCAAAATCACAGCAACTTCAATACTTGATGACACAACAGCAGATCCAAATAATCAGCATCGTTACTATAATAGAAGCCAATTTCTTCCTCCTTGTTCTTGCTCGATCCCTTTCTTCTTCAAAATCTTTGACCCTGTTCAGTAAATCCCAAATAACCCTATTCGCTTGGTTAGGAAACTCGTCGTCAACCCACTTAAAATAATTACTTCCACCTTTGTCCTTCAAAAAAATTCATTCAAACTAAAATTAGCCCAAAAATAACATGACTAAAAATTAATTAATTGTAGTTAATTATCACTTACCTTTTCAATTTTGCATCCATAGAACACCCTTCCAGGATTAGATGGAGTCCATGAAGTTTTCAATTGACATTCATGACTACACCGACATGAATCGATTCTTGCTTTGAGATACATAATAGAGAGCTTATTAAGCCAAGATTCGAACACAATTTGGAGAGAAGAATAGAAATTTTAAATAAAATCAAGAAAATGTTGAAGAAATAGGGCTGGATTTTGAGGGAATGGTGAAGAATTAGGGCTGGTAACAGGGAGGAGGGTCTAATTATATTATTGGAGAGAGGAGGCATGTTACCGTTTATTGTACCGTTAATAGGTTTTTTGTCAGCATACTTCTATTGTTCACGCACTCAAATGCAGTGATATTCACATTATTTGCCATGTCAGTCAGACGTGTTAAACTGGTGCAGTAAAAGTATAGTAAAAGCGTTTGGGTGGAAAATGGCTTAGTTGAGGTGTTCAAGTGAACTTTCTTTGATAGTTTAAGTGTCTGTCTATGTATTCTGCCTTTTTTTTCTATGATCACCAAAACCAAGTGCAATTCAGAGAACATCTTAAACTGCGGCCACTTGCCAGTCAAAAGATTGAGAAAGAAAGTTCTTTTTTCATATAATTTCGATACAAAGCATAAAAAAGACTATAATGCACACAACATACATGTGAAAGGGCATACCGAGATCATTCATGAGATCTGCCACTAAACGCCACATTTTGGCATTACTAAATTAGAACCCTGAAAAAGAAAGCAAAAGCAACAGTCTCTTTCCAACAAGTACTTATGTGACGATCCGGCCGGTCGTCTTAAGAATTACCGCCCTGATCCCCTGTTAACTACTTTTCCCAAGTTTATTTCTGCTAATGTGATTTGTCGGGATGTTCAATTTTGAGTTTCGAAGCGTTTTGGGACACTTAATCCCCAAATGAGAGCTTAAGTGTTGGAAAGTTAACTGTAGTCGTAACAGAGTGAAGACGGCCTCGGAATGGAAATCTGATGGTTCCGTTAGCTTCGTTGGTTGATTTTGGGGTTAGGAGTATGTTCAGACTGTATTTTGAAGGTCCGTAAATAATTTAGTCTTGAAATGCCGAAAGTTAAATTTTGGAAGTTTCCTGTTCGATAGTGAGATTTTGATCCGAGGGTCGGAATGGAATTCCGAGAGTTGCAATAGTTCCGTTGTGTCATTTGAGATGTGTTTGCAAAATTTTAGGTCATTCGGACGAGGTTTGATAGACTTTTTGATCAAAAGCGTATTTTGAGGAAAATTGGAGTTCTTAGGCTCAAATCCTTGATTAATTCGAGGTTTGATAGATGGTTTGGGGACCGTAGATGCGACTAAGGGACCGTAGAAGCGGAATTTAGTCTTTCCTTCAGGTTCCACAGATGCGGAAGGGTCATCGCAGAAGCGGTGTCGCACCTGCGAACAAGTAATCGCAGATGCAATTTCTGGACATTTAATGAGAGTCGCAGATGCGACGTAGTTTCCCAGGGTCACAAATGCGGAAATCGTTGGGCAGAACATATAAATAGTTGCTTTTGCGAATATGAGGGATTCTTTCACCATTTTCATCCGGGAAGCTTTTGAGAGAGATTTTTGAGGAAAACAAAGGGGAATCGCTTGGAGGTAACATCCTTGACTTCATAACTTGTTTTTATGTGATTAAAGACCTAATTATTGGTGAGAAATTTGGGAAAATGGTTAATTAGGGCTTGAGTTTAAGAGGCCTTTAAATGAGGATTTGAGGGGTCATTTGGACTCCGATTTCAGTGTTCTTGTTATGTATAGACTCATGAGAGTACGAGGTTTCTGAAAATATAAATTTCACCCGATTCCGAGATGTGGGCCCGAGGGGCATTTATGTCATTTTACATAATTTTGCGTATTAGCTTAGATTTTAATTGTAGAATCAGTTACTTGAAGTGTTATTTACATTATTCAATTGAATTGAATAGATTTGGGCTATTTAGAGTCGAGTACTCGTGGCAAAGAAGTGGTGTCGGATTGATTTTGAGCTGGTTCGAGGTAAGTGGCTTGTCTAACCTTGTGTGAGGGACCTTCCCCTTGGGATATGATATATTTGATTATTAAAATGCCTTGTACGTGAGGTGACGAGCGCGTACTTGAGCTAATTGTTGAAAATCTGATTTTTCCTTAAGTATTTCAATTGAGTTCTTTTTCATGTTTTATTCTACTTGTGAATTTAGCCTGTTGCTAGTTTAGAGAAGCATATTTAGTTGACATAATTGCCTATTTGCTTAAACTGCCTTAATTGCATTATGTGGAGCATGCTAGGCTTGAATTAACTGTTTACTTGGTACGAAATTTAGCTTAATTGGGTATTCTTGTGTTGTTGTTGTGTGCTTTACTTTGGGACTATGGGACGACATCCCGGGAGATCCCCTGTACGTATTTATGATCTGGTTGCTGCTGTGTGTTTTACTTTGGGACTACGGAACGGCATCCCGGGAGATCTCTTGTACGTATTTATGATCTGGTTGTTGCTGTGTGTTTTAGTTTAGGACTACGGGACGGCATCCCGGGAGATCCCCTGTACGTATTTATGATCTGGTTGTTGTTGTGTGTTTTACTTTGGGACTACTGGACGACATCCCGGGAGATCCCCTGTACGTATTTATGAGCTGGACTAAGGTGCGGGATACCAAGAGATCCCTGACACGTATATTGAGGATACCAAGAGATCCTCGGGATACCAAGAGATCACTGGCACGTATATTGAGGATACCAAGAGATCCTCGGGATATCGAGAGATCCCTAGCATATATTGAGGATACCAAGAGATCCTCGGGATACCAAGAGATCCCTAGCATATATTGAGGATACCAAGAGATCCTCGGGATACCAAGAGATCCCTAGCATATATTGAGGATACCAAGAGATCCTCGGGATACCAAGAGATCCCTAGCATATATTGAGGATACCAAGAGATCCTCGGGATACCAAGAGATCCCTAGCATATATTGAGGATACCAAGAGATCCTCGGGATACCAAGAGATCCCTAGCATATATTGAGGATACCAAGAGATCCTCGGGATACCAAGAGATCCCTAGCATATATTGAGGATACCAAGAGATCCTCGGGATACCAAGAGATCCCTAGCATATATTGAGGATACCAAGAGATCCTCGGGATACCAAGAGATCCCTAGCATATATTGAGGATACCAAGAGATCCTCGAGATACCAAGAGATCCTCGGGATACCAAGAGATCCCTAGCATATATTGAGGATACCAAGAGATCCTCGGGATACCAAGAGATCCCTAGCATATATATTGAGGATACCAAGAGATCCTCGGGATATTAAGAGATCCCTAGCATATAATTGAGGATATCAAGAGATCTTCAGGATACGGAGAGATCCCTAGCATATATTGAGGATACCAAGAGATCCTCGAGATACCAAGAGATCCTCGGGATACCAAGAGATCCCTAGCATATATTGAGGATACCAAGAGATCCTCGGGATACCAAGAGATCCCCGGTTATCATCCTAGCTGTGAATGGTATTTCCTTGTGGTTTGCCTTTATCTCTATTTCCGTTATTGTACTCTTATCATTCTGTATAGATTCTGACTGTAGATTCTCAATTGTACTGCTTATCTTATCCTGTCATCTTATTATCTATTTGATCTCAGTAGGGCCCTGACCTTCCTCGTCACTACCCAACCGAGGTTAGGCATGACACTTACTGACTACCGCTGTGGTGTACTCATGCCTCTTCTGCCCATGTTTTTTATGTGCAGATCTAGGTACCGCTACTCAGGCCTACCATCCTTGAGGGAGGCGACTGCTTAGAGATTCGAGGTACATCTGTCGCGTCCGCAGACCGAGAAGTCCCTTTCTATTCCTACTTTTAGTATTTAGCCTTTCTGTACTTCTGTTCTTTTTAGACAAAATTCCGGAGTTAGAGCTATGTAGTATTTCTTTTTCTTAACTTGTGATTCGTGGGTTTCCGGGTCTTGGACTTGGATATTGGTTTTGAGATTTATATATGGTGTATGCCGAACGGCACATTTAAACACTGTTATTGCCTTATTTCTGTTTTTAAATTGTTTGCTTCTGCAAGTTTTGGTTATCTTCCGCAATTTAGGCTTACATAGTCGTAAAGACTAGGTACCGTCACGATGGTTCACGGAGAGCGAACGGGGTCGTGACAACTTATATTTCAAAAATCATAACGGGGGTTGGTAGTAAGAGGCAGGTCAAAAATATCACTGTCCCAAAAAATGTTCGATTTCGATCCATAAATGCTGACATGGTAACTTTATTATAGGAAAGAGATCATCATTTCCTTTTCTTTATGAAAGGGAGCATTTGTCTGGCATATAGTTTCAAGTGGAAAAAGAAACTGGCATCAATGTAAGTCTGATGGGAAATCATTTATCCTCGAAGGACTGAGGTGCTTCTGTAGCTTCGGTCTTTATAAAGAATCAAGACATGCATTGTTTGACACAATAGGATCAATACGATACCGGAAAATTAAGCCAAAAAAGATGAAAGAAACCTGGTAACATGTGAACAAGACGCCTCCAACCATACCAGTTAAATCTCGCAAGAACCACTGAAATATTTTTAAAACTATTGTCATCACACTAGTTTAAAACTTAAATTACAATGGAAAAAAAAAGATGTGAATGTATTGGGAAAAATTGAATTTATATATGTTGAGACACGTGGATTGGTTAAATAGTCAAAGAATTATAATTAGTCAAGAGTCACGGACAAAAATAGAAACGAGCAAATGCAAAGGAAGAGGCACGGGAGGACATTTGAAGGATTCAGCGCCCGTACCTATTTAGATCATTTATCAAAAGGAACGGATCTGACCATAATAAAGAGCGCAGATACGGAATTCGATAAGAATTAAATACCGGATACGTTAGAGATTTTGTATTGATTATAATGATTGTGTAACGTAGCATTTAATGTTTTTAATTATTCATAATAGCCTCATTATGATTTGAAGGAAACGCATACCTTCAAGACCCCTATAAAAGGGAGGTATCTAGTCACTTGTAAGGACAGACACAATTGAAATATACTCTGATTCACTTATTTTTCTCCTGATTACATTCTGGTTTCTCCAAATTATTCTCTTCTACATATTCTTTTGATTATCAGTAACCCGCGTTCTTCTAAATTCTAGTTTTGACTAAAATTCTATTTTTTGGTTAAACAAATTGGTTCTGTTACCGGGAATCTGATAATCTATTTTCTTTTCACTTGACCTTTCTTGTTACATCAATCATGTCGAATAACAATGACAACACCCCAGGAAACCAAGAGAACCAACAAAGTCAGGGATGCCCACAGAACATTAACATTCAGGTTCCTACTCCGCAGGACTCTGCACGGCAATCTCGTGAGGGTACTCCCGATGGATCTCAAATAAACGAGTATGCTCAATTTGAAAATGCTGAAGCTGTTGATGAAGCTCTGCAGAAGTTAATTACTGCTCAGGTCAACAAAGCTGTTGAAGCGCTTGTTAACCAGTTACCTGTTGCAACACCCACACCTTCTCCAAATAATAACACTATAGAAAACCCTCGTTCCGGGCTTGTTAACTCAGGCAGCGGTGGAACCCCCAGTAAATCGCAGGAGAGAGAACCAGGTAATGTAATTAATTCTGATTTACAAAATTTAGTACTAACCTTGCAGAAACAGCTCAAGGAGCAAAGTGAACTCATAGAGTAGATACCCGGGGTGCCGCCCATAATCAAAGGGGTAGACGTGGACAGATATTCGCAACAACCTTGGAAGCCGAGTCCTGCTCCACTCCAATTCCAAAAAAGTTCAAAATACCTGATATTCCAAAGTATGATGGAACGACAGACCCACGGGACCACGTGACTGCATTCACAACGGGCGTAAAAGGCAATGATTTGACTAAGCAGAAGATCGAGTCGGTATTAGTCAAGAAATTTGGTGAAACACTCACCAAAGGAGCACTAACATGGTATTCCTTTTTACCTGAGAATTCTATAAATTCTTTTGCTGAGCTTGCATATTCTTTCATCAAAGCGCACTCAAGAGCCCAAAAAGTGGAAAAAAGAATGGAGGATATTTTCAAAATTAAGCAAGGAGATTCAGAAGTGCTTAGAGAATTCATGGACAGATTTCAATGCGAAAGAATGATATTGCCACGTGTACCTGATAACTGGGCAGCTATAGCTTTCACAAGCAATTTGAATGAAAAAAGCTCGGAAACTACGAGGAGACTAAAGGAAAGCCTTCGAGAATTCCCAGCTACAACGTGGAACGATGTTTATAACAGGTATAGCACGAAGTTGAGGATTGAGGAAGATACTATTCCCTGATCTCAAAAAGAAGAAAGTATATGTTCAAGACGTGCAGAAAATGAAAAAAGATCCGGTAAAAATAGGTACGGACCTTATATGGGACCTGCGGGGAAAGACTCACGGTAAAAATAGGATAATCAAAGGCACGATCACAGATCAAGAAACAGAGAATCAGGTTCTTCATCAAGATTTAGGAACGAGCGAAACAACTATGAGTCACGGGATGATGATAGAAATTTAAAAGCGAGATTCGGAGGTTACAACTTCAACGTTAGCACCTCCGAGCTCGTAGCTGTTTTGAAAAGCATGGGAGATAAGGTTCGATGGCCAAAGGAAATGAGATCCAATCAAAACAGGCGCAACCCTGACCATTGTGCGAGTTCCATAATGATCACAGACATAAAACAGCAGATTGCAGATTTTTACAAAGTGAAGTTGATTATTTATTAAAATAAGGATATCTTACAGAGTTGTTCAGCGAGAAAGGCAAGCAAGCTTACATGAAGAACAGCTAGGAGCCTCCAAAGCCACCTTCTCCCAAAAGAACTGTTAACGTTATAAGTGGGGGTGAAGACATTAATGGTGTGTCATATACTGCGGCTAACAAAATTTCCAAAATAACTATTACCCAAGGGAAACAGGTGTGGCATGTTCTAGAAGAAGGCAATATTACATTCAATGATGCAGATACAGATGGCATATTAATCCCTCATAACGATGCACTGGTAATATCTTTAATTGTGCATGATACTAATGTGAAACGAGTTTTGATTGATTCAGGTAGTTCCGTGAACATTATTTTACTAAGAGTGCTACGTGAGATGCAAGCTGAAGATGGAGTAATACCAAAGGCGCATACTCTATCTGGATTCGATAATTCTAGTGTCGTCACAAAAGGAGAAGTAACACTCACCACTTTTGCTGAAGTGGGGTCGTCAAAGATACAAAGTTCCAGGTAGTAGACATAGAGATGGCTTACAACATGATTCTGGGGAGACCATGGATCCATGAAATGGATGTTGTTCCTTCAACCTTGCATCAAGTTATCAAATTCCCATCGCCATGGGGAATTTGTCAAATTCGCGGAGATCAACATACATTCAGGGCTATTAACTCCGTTGCAGATCCAAGCACGAGAAGTGAAGGCAAATAGCAATCACAGAAGGAAGTTGAGAATACCACAACACAGACCTCAACTGAACAAGTGCGAACAGATGTAGACTCAAGGCCTAATACCATTCAAGAACCAGAAGAGAATGAAGATATCAAAACAACGATAGATGAATTAGAACTTGTCGTATTGTTTGCTCAGTGGCCTGATAAAAAAGTCTATGTCGGGGCTAATCTTAACCAAGGAATGAAAGGTAAGTTAATCGAATTTTTGAAAACTAACATGGACTGCTTCGCTTGGTCCCACTCCGACATGACAGGAATACCTTCAGAGGTGATGACTCATAAACTAAATGAAGATCTGTCATATCCTCCCGTGAAGAAAAAGAAAAGAAAGCAGGGAACTTTCAAGAATCAGGTGATTCAAGAAGAAGTCCAAAAATTGCTAAAAATTGGTTCCATTCGAGAGGTAAAGTATCCTAACTGGTTAGCTAATACTGTTGTGGTTCCAAAGAAAAATGGTAAGGGGCGGGTTTGTGTAGATTATACAGATCTTAACAAAGCCTGCCCTAAAGATTCTTTTCCCCTACAACACATAGATCAATTGATTGATGCAACTGCAGGTCATGAATTGTTAAGTTTTTTAGATTCATATTCAGTATATAATCAGATTAAAATGGATCCGGCATATGAAGAAAAAACTTCATTCATAACAGACAGGGGGACTTATTGTTATAAAGTAATGCCCTTTGGTCTAAAGAATGCAGGTGCAACGTACTAGAGGTTAGTTACCAAAATGTTTCAGGAATATTTAGGAAAGACAATGGAGGTATATATAGATGATATGCTTGTTAAAACTCAGCACTCAAAAAATCACATATCACACTTGTCTGACACATTTTCAATTCTGCGTAAATATAATATGAAGTTAAATCCCGAAAAATGTGCATTTGGCGTTGCATCAGGCAAGTTTTTGGGTTTTCTTGTTTCTAACCGTGGAATTGAAGTAAATCCTGCACAGATTAAAGCCATTGAGGAAATCTCTGACATACTTTCAAACAAGAAAGAAGTTCAAAGATTAACAGGGAGAATTGCAGCCTTGGGAAGATTCATCTCTAAATCATTAGAGAAGTGTTTTAAATTCTTCTCAGCTCTTAAAAAGCAGGATCATTTTGAATGGAATGAGGAATGTCAACAAGCACTTAGAAATTTGAAAATGTACTTATCAAATCCGCCTCTGTTGGCAAAACCAAAGGCTGGGGAAAAGCTACTCCTATACCTTGCTGTTTCGTAGGTGGCGGTAAGTGTTGTTGTGGTCCGAGAAGAGAAAGGTAAACAATCACCTATCTATTACGTAAGTAAATCTTTGTTAGATGCAGAAACGAGGTATCCTCAGTTAGAAAAACTTGCACTTGCGTTAATCATGGCATCTAGGAAGTTAAGACCTTACTTTCAATGTCATCCTATCGTTGTGTAACTACCTACCTTTTACGTAACATACTATATAAGCATGGGTTATTAGGTAGGTTAGCTAAGTGGGCAATAGAGTTAAGTGAATACGAAATTGCATACCAACCTAGAACTGCTATAAAATCGCAAGTATTAGCTGATTTCGTGGCTGATTTTAGTCAGGGAATACAGTTAGAAGCAGAAAAAGAATTACAGGTGTTCAATAGAGCCAACCCAGGAACTTGGACTTTATTCAATAATGGCTCATCTAACGTGAGATGAGCAGGTTTGGGAATAGTATTGGTACCACCTACGGGTGAAACCATTTGACAAGCTATTAAATGTCATTCCATAACTAACAATGAGACAGAATATGAGGCTATGATTGCAGGTTTAGAACTGGCACGGGAACTTGGCATAAATCAGATTATAATCAAGAGTGATTCACAACTCATAGTTAATCAAATGCTGGGGACTTATACAGCCAGGGAAGCAAGGATGCGGCAGAATTTAGAAAAGGTACGGGAATTGGTAAAACAATTTCAAGATTGGAAGATTAGACAAATATGCAGGGACGAAAATCTTGAAGCAGACGCCCTAGATAATCTCGCATCTGCAGCTGACGTGGCAAACGATGCAAATGCCTCAGTGATACATTTATTTCATTCAGTTCTTGATCCTGATACGAATGAGGTAAATTTTA